ATGTATATGTATTACCTTTCACCTTCAAACTAAAATTCCATTTAGAATCTTTATAACTTCCTTAATGAATTAATGACTAGCTCATACATTTCTATGTATGTATGTATGTACATTAGACTGCATCACAAAAAAGTTGCGGTTTCGGACAAATATTAAGATTTACGTGAGCTGGACTGATTTGAAAATACCTCCAAAAATGGAGTTTTTATGAATAAAAATATTTTCTTAAAAAACTTTTTTAAAAAGCCCCTCACAAAAATTTTTTAAGCTTAAACCGTTTTGTCATTTGAAGGGATTTTTCTCAAAAAATATCTTTAAGAAACTATTTTTATTAATAAAAAACTCCATTTTTCAAATCGGTCCAGCTCACGTAAATCTTAATATTTTTCCGAAATATTTTGGTGGACTTCTTAAAATATAGATTTTATAATTCCACTCAAAACACAGTACGGATTTTTTTTTTGTATGGAGAGTGATGCAGTCTAATGTATATGTATACAAATTTATACCTAATAAATTATCAGCTCATTAAACCTTTATTACTGCACTCTGTGCACATTTAAGTTGGCACAAACTAAGTACATGTTAACAGCTTTTTTTACGCGAACGTCTTTTAAATGTAACTAACTACTGTGATATATTTTTACGCTGCTTATCGAAATTACCTACTTTTATAAAACAATATCATTTGTGTATGCCCATAGGCCAACCAATCATTGTTTTCCGACCCGATGTTGCATTGTCACATGAAAACGATGAAACTTACAAGGGTAGTTTGCAGAACTTTGATGAACTGAAAATTTGGGTGCAAGAAAAAATGTGTACCCTTAGTGCGTGAGATTACATTTGAAAACGCCGAGGAATTGACGGAAGAAGGTTTACCATTTTTGATACTTTTCCACAAACCAGACGATACCGATGCGATCAAGGACTTTAAGGCTATCATTGAAACTCAGTTGTTGGATGAGAAACGTATGAAAGAGAGAAACAAAAGCAATGAAATATTCAAATTTACCAATTCATTTTGCAGAGAATATCAACTTCCTAACTGCGGACGGTCAACGCTTTGCACATCCGTTACATCATTTGGGTAAATCAGACGACGACTTGCCATTGATTGCTATCGATTCATTCCGTCACATGTATTTGTTCCCCAAATTCGAAGATATGTATCAGCCTGGCAAGCTGAAACAATTTTTACAAGATTTGTACAGTGGAAAATTGCACAGGTTTGTTGCAAAAAGTCTAGCAATATGAATTCTTATTTCAAAATATTATATCTCTTGGACGTTTTTTCTAAAATTATTTTTCTTTACCTTTTCTTCACATGGCTAAACAGAGAGTTCCACTATGGTCCCGATACATCCGGTAATGAGGTGCAAACCGAATTAGTATCAGGCAAAGGCACATCACCGCCGGAATCGAGCTTTAAGAAATTAGGACCTTCGAAGAATCGTTACACGCTACTGCATAAGGATGAGCTGTAAGGTCGATTATTAGGCTTTAGGTTAAATACATACACAAGTATACACCCAGATACATCTACACATAAATATGTGCTGGTTGCACTTAAACTTGCACAGACAGACACCTGCTAAATAACACCAATCAAAACAAACAATCAATCAATCTCATATGCTAAAATACAACAAAATTTAGAAATATGCAAGTTTTTTAATACATACATAGTTATGCTGCGTTTTTTTTTTGCTTTATACGTGCATATGTTTGTCTGTACACTCGTCGATTGTCCAGAATATTGTTTTTCTTTTCTTTTCAAAATGGGTGCATATTTTGTTTATTCTTTTTATTCTTTGCTAAAAACTACACGAAATGTTATTGTGATTATAGGTTTTTTTTTGTTTTACGATATAAAGAAAGTTTATTTAAACTATTGAAAAAATAGCACATAATATTTTTTGATGTATGTATGATTTGCTAAATACAGTAATAATTTTCCTTATAGTATGTACATATATGGTAGCGTTAAGCTGGCTTTCAGTTGTACATTTTTCATTAAAATCCCTTTCAGTGTAAATCACACAGTTGTAAAAATAACTATATTTACTTTGGATAAGTTTTTTTAAAGTTAGAAAATGGAATGTATTTTTATTTAATTAATTGCGCCGAGCACTATGTTCCACATAAAGTAGAGTGCGCTGATTTTTTTCCTAATATTACTGATGAAATAAAAATATACTAAGGTAATTGAAAATGAAATTTTCTTGCAAAGACTGTAGAGCAAGTCAACAAAAAATCCATCGTGTACTTCCGACGAAATTTACAACTTGGAAGCCTTAAGGATATTCAAAGAAAAGGATTTGTGAAGCAGAATATTTTTGCATCGGTTAAATGTCGGGAGTATATACTTTATGCAGTGCCTTTGGGACATCGTAGAATCTTTAGTTTTGAAAAATATTTCCAACTTATTTTTCCATACATTTTCGTTTTCCTTACTATGCAATATATACCACACTTATTACTTCTCGATAAAGACATACAAAGATGGAGCAAAACTTTGTCAATTTAAAATGCGTGCTACAAAAAAAAAAACTAGTATATCCAATTTAGACCAATAATAAATACTTAAAGCAACCAGCTATAGAAGACACATATATCTTAAATACATAAAAACTTATTTGAAACGCTTACGAGACTTATTAAAACGCCATTAATATAAGTATAAATCAAATTTTTCGTAAAAGTTACATTTTTGTATAATTTTAGTTGCAATTTTTTGAAAACGTTTCTGCTCTGTAAATTTATTTTAGCAGTTAAAAAATAAAGTATTAATAAAACAACATATCTAACATATTTGTTCAAATATAGGCCAACAGAATAATAAAACCTGTCCTTAAAGTTGACATTTTTTCCGAAATTGAATATGTTACTTGTGAATCCAACTCTAAAAGGACTTAAAACTTATGAGCTATTTAAAAACGGCATCGTTGTTGCTGCAGTCATCGAAAATTCTAATTCGGCCTAAGCTGAAAATTGTAATCGTCGGTAAAAGTATCTGGCCAGATCTGTACCTGGCCAAGGGCTGTGACTCCAGCTGGCTTTCCCTTTGAGGAATTTGTATGCCCCTGGAACAACCTTCGTACTAGTTCTGAAAATGGGAGTCGAATAATTTGCGGGTTTTTCCTATAATGTTGTTGGAAGTCTGTCCCTGATGTATCGAGATGAAAAGCAATTACTACATACATACAAACATACATATACATATATATACCAACTACTTTTAGAGCAAAACCTTTTTCCTTTATGGAGGAGTTCATCCTTCACGATGACTCTGGACTATGCGCATGAGCCAAATCGGTAAGTATTTTTTTGCAATTACTTACATGGCCTAATTGTAAATTGCATTATAGGAAATCTCTGGTTAATTCGCTATTTAATTCTTTGGGTAAAAATATATTTGAAAGAATTGGCTATTTTATCATTGGACACAGTACTGATCTGAGGCCAATAAAGAAACTCTGTCACCAGGGACTTTCTCAGAGCTTGAACAAATAACTGAATACACTTGCTATAACAACACTTATTTGAGATTTTTTTATAGGAGCATATTTAACGGTAAACTAAAAATTTCACATAATTTCGGCTTCTAATTAAAGACGTAAAATATACATAGTCGCCACTGGAACATGTATATTTTTATCTTGATCACAATTGAATGAAATAAGTAGTTTATTAGAAATTTTTATTTATTTTATTTATATATTAACAGCTGTAACTTATAATTAAAATTAGAAATTTTATTATATTTAACTTACTTAAAACAAACAAAAGAAAACACTAAATAAACAAGAGTTACTAGAGTATGCATATATTTTACATGAGGAGTCGTGAATTTAGAAACCCATAAACGATGTTTACATATCCATTCGCCACAGCGCGTACACATCTCACCGTTATGGGTTTGCGGCGCTCTTTGCCCGCGCTACACGTTGTTTTCATGCCTACAAGAACATACGCTAATCCTTGCATTAGTACTATGCATAAATATGTATATAGCGTATAAAAATGTAAATTATTCCTTACCGTCTGTAGTCTACCTGCATATCGACGACTGCCTGTTGACGGCTGCTTGATGCCTGCGCCTCTAGTTTGTCCATGCACATGACCGTCTGTCGTGCACCACACCAACGAACTACGTACGAGTCTTTACATACATACATACATATATATACTATGTATGTAAGTGATATACAGTAGAGGTGATGTTTTTCTTTCTTTTTTTCGTAGTAGACAATTTGACGGTCTTTTTAATTATCGCGTTCGACACATCAATTTTTTATTACTGTGATTCAAGTCTACGCGTTCTTAAAAGTATGTTAGTTAACTTAACGTTTTTTCACGAACACTCGCCAATTGTCGTCGAAAGCCTCTAACTGCTACTATGAACTTAAGCTTAGAAATTCTCTGGCCACAGCTATCCTATTCGCATAAACAAAACATGTAGGTAATAAACTGAGGTAGGCGAAATTTTAAACTATGATAAACACATTTCTGCACGTACATATGTACATAGGTATGTATGAACCTAACAACTCCAGTAACCGCAGTATTGGCTATCAACACATCTAATTGCGTGTGAGTAATAAACATAAAAATTCCGACTAGGGCACTGTTTGGTAAAACGTTGAGTGCATGCAAGCTTATGGGAATCCCATTTTTAACGACGTTATCTTTCATTTCTTGCTAACAATGTGATTTGCTGTTGTGCTAGTTTTAAGGAAACAAACAAGTAGAAGCATCCATGAACGTGAAATCAAAATGATAGAGAAAGCATCTTCGACCACCAAGTAAGAGTACAGTGAGTAAGCTCAACGAAGCCACAAACTTCATACATATGTATGTACATGGTTAGGAATATCCGCTTAAGCATACCGATGTAGTTAAATAATGAAAAAATATAGTATTGATTATGTTGTTGTAACAGCGTGGGAACAATTATTTTAGTTACCAATTCATTTAGTAATAATTAAAGCAAGTTATTATAAATACAAATTCAATTTTATTGTTCTGTTTAAATGTGCTCGGATTTTAAGTCGGAAAACACTTTCGGAATGTACTTATGTTTTTATATACTTAAGTAAACAAACTTTGTACCATATTAAAATTGTGCTACCGATGAAAAAAATATGATATGTACATATATCAACCATATTTCAGTTTGTAAATGCATTCAATAAAGGTATGCATTTCAACTTCCCCATTTTTTTATGAATTTTCGTACACGCTGTTTTTATCATGATACATCTTATTAATAAGAGAACAGAATCCACGGTATTATTGGTAAATTAAATTTTCAATAAAAGCTAGTGCTTTTTTAAAGCAATAATAATAAACCGCTTCATTATACTAAGGTATCTATGTATATTAATTGGACGGTTAATATTCGAACACAATAATGCTGAAATATATTGTATAAACTATCTAACGATTTTTGTGCTTAATTATTCGAGTTTCATGTTACGATTATTAGCTTTAATAACGTGAAGGCTCCGAGAGGTGAGCTTTATATTAATCTTTACCAAGTTTTAATAGAGGCATGAAAGCATGCCCAATACCGATAACACAATCAAACCTCCAATTATTGTGCGGCTTGCCATTTGGGGCTGCGTTGACCCACTCTGCAAGAGATGAAAATTACAGATATTTTAATCCGTGTTTTTATTTGATATTAATTTAATTTAATCAACTTACAATCACAAAATAATTACAGCGATCGCCGACGCAGCATTCATAACACCACCAATCCTCGTACCAAATATGTGTGCAATACTGCATGTAGCGTTTACGACGCTGCTGGCACTGTTGCTTCGTCAAACACCGCTTGGAAACATAGTATTGCTTCAGCGCACCTTGAGAGAAATACGGCTGACTGCCCCAACGTATCTCCGTACCGCAAGCATCCTCACCTGGTTCACATGTTTTTATTGTATTCAGGCATTTCTCAGTATTACCAGTTTGGTTGGAACACACATAGCACTCCAATCCGTGTACGAAGTGTACTGAAATTAGGGCGTTAGCATAGAAAACAGTTTAGCATTTCAGCAACCGGTGGTGACCACATTTACCTTGTCCTATGTAATATATGGCTATTACTGTGAGAATCAGAAGCTTCCATGTTTCCATTACTACACTAAGGATAATAGATAATACCACCAGTTGCAGGATTAAAAATGAAGAAAACACAACCAACGCCTTTTCAGAACGAATGTCAGAACAGGGATAGATCACAACACTTCCACTGGAATTCACTACCGGACGTCACTGGAATGCACTACCGGAAGTATAGGGTGATAAACACTGGTTTCACCCTGTTGCATTTGGTCCCAACCGATATTTGGTCCGGTCCCATATAATAGTTGCGTTTTTTTTTACTAATTTCCAGTAAAATCCAGTAAAAGTTTTTACTTAATTTTCATGTTTTGGCGTTTTCGTTCGTACGCAAAAACTTGCAAAGTAGGGGAAATTGAGAGAGCGAAAGTTTTAAGTTTTTACTGGATTTTACTGGATAAATTTTTACTTGTAAGAATTTGCCAGTACGAAAAACAGCTGATCGCATGTTGCTGGATGAAATTTAAACTAATAAGGAAACTGTTTGTGCCTTTTTATTGTGGAAATTCACAAAATAAACATATTTAAATATAAAATATATTGTTTTATTAGGAATATGCTGCGAATAGGCAACCAATTTATCAGCTGTTCATGAAACTTGCAAATTATTACTGGAAAAGCGTTCACGTACTTTTTTGTAAATTTTTTCTATGAGAGCGAATTCTTAGAAATAAAGTTACCGGAGAGTTGCTGGCAAGTAAAAAAACACAACTAATATCCCATTCCTTGTAACTGTAATTCCCATTTCCAATTAATTAATTAAACGAAAAAGCAAGCAAGCACTATTTGCACATATTTACATTACAATCGTTCTTTAAATCGTAAATTAAATCGTTCTTTGGTGATTCGTCTGAATCGTGAATCGTTCTTGAGAACTCGTTCGAGATTTTTGTAAACAAAAGTGGTATTATATTACGTAATTACGTGAATTATATAGCTTTATAAAAGTGAGCCGTGAGCGAAAGTGCCGTGTAAAAAACTGCATTAACGAAAATAGCGAGAGGCGGCTTTTTTCGTTCCCCAAGGACGCAAGTGAGGTGGCCAAACGGAGGGAGAATCTCCGCATAAAGGATAATCCGCCGCACAACTCCTTTGTGTGTGTGTGTGTGGACATTTTGAGTTGTCCGACGATGGTCGGATGTTTCTAAACCCAGGTGCTATCCCAACACTTAAACAAGAACGATAGAATGCGCATTTCCGCAGAATGACATTTGTGGCAACGGGTAAACAAAGAATATGGCGAAGAACAATGAGTTGACAGTTGTGAATTTGCTTTGCAGTGAGAAAACGTGTTTTCTTCACGATTAACCAATTTCTGATCAAAGAATGACAAATGCATTTGATAGTTTTGTTCCAAACCACGCCTTGGAGCAGAGTTGCATTAAGCTAGTTTTTGGTACGATTGCCCCGCCAGATAGAAATTCTTTTCTGCGTCACAGCGATGCTTTTGACTGACATCTAAGTTGACTCTGTGATTTTGAATAGAAGACTCTACATTGGCATCGCATGCTTTACGGCATTAGTAAATTGATAAAAATTGCTCTACGCTCAGCTTTTGCCGCACACATATCGGCAAAACAACAACAAAAATGTATGCAACGAATTCAAACCAGCTGATTTTTGACCAATCAAATTGAGCCATTTTGTTTGCGACAACGTTTTCATTGTACGGTCTTGTTGTTGTTGTTTTAACAGCATACAAATGCCCCAAAGAGTTAACTTTTTTCTCTAAACCAGTTACAAATACAAGTCGCGTTCTTGCGTGGTCTTGTATTTTTGGTTAATGGGGTTACAGCGTCATCTATAGCTCGGCACTGAACGTAACCACTCTTGAAATTTGGCAGCATTGGTGAAATGACAGTACGAAATGTCATGTATTGTGTATTGATTTTTATTCATAGCTTTCCTTTGTGATTCAATTAAATCGTGAAAAAATAATTTATCGAAGCAATGGGCGCAGCATTCTTTCCGGTACTGTTCTTCACTGCCTTATGGGCATGTGTTGGCATTGGTGTTCCTATGATGACTCCGAAGGGCCCTCATCAAAGCCTCTTCCGTTGTATTATGATGCTAACTGCAGCGACTTGCTGGCTTTTCTGGCTATGTTGTTACATGGCACAAATGAATCCTTTGCTCGGACCAAAATTAAACCAAAATGCTATTTATATGATAGCAAAGGAGTGGGGAAATGAGCTAAAGGACGGCTAAAGTGATAGTTTAAAAGGTTTGCAGATAATGTAAGCTGAAGGACGGCTTGATCGGTGTGAGCTGCTCAACGCAATTGGTGGAGCGATAAAAACGTATATATGTTTAATGAAAATATGTAGTGAAACATTTTTATTTTAGTTTATAAACAATGCATTTTCAT